CGGCATCGAAGACTACAGAGATCCAGCGGGAGATCACTCACTTCCGCCAAGAGCCAGATGAGTCACTTCGTGATGATTGGGAGCGGTACATGGGATATTTCTGGCAGTGTCCCCATCATGGTTTCAGTGATGCATTTACAGTGGGGAACTTCTACAGTGCTCTCTCTCCAGATAGCCAGAGGGTGATTGAGTCTCTATACCCAGGAGGGGATATTCTTACTAAGACTCCACCCGAGCTAAACCAGATGATCAATACCTTGGCTGCCAGAGATCATTCTTGGGGACAGAGCAGCAGAGGCAGACATTCCCGGGACCGTGGTGTGCACGCCATGGAGACCAGATCCGGGCTCGAGCAGCAGGTAGCTGAGCTAATGCAGACATTGAAGCAGCCCAACAGTCTTATTCCGGGCAGAGGTTTGGCTACACCTCCAGTAGCTCAATGTCAGTGGTGTGAGAGCTCAAATGACCTGGTGGAAGACTGCCAGGCTATGAGGGAGTCTACTACCCCCCAAGAGCAGTTGGACTTCATCGCCAATGTTAGGCGCCTCGACCCGTACAGCAATACATATAATGAGGGGTGGCGCCAGCATCCCAACTTCTCTTGGGGCAGCAACACCACTAAGCCACCTGGTTTCCCAGCACCAGCTGGTGGCTTTCAGTAGAGGCAGCCCTTCCAAGCTCGACAGGGGCCAGCCCCACAGCAGCAGCCCTACCAGCCTAGGCAGGGGCAACCATTCCAACAGCCCCGGCGTCAGTTTGTCGAGCCAGCAGCAGCTCCTGCCCCAGATGACCGGATGACAAAGCTGGAAAATATTCTAGCTTCATTCATGACTAGCACTCAGGCAACTATCACGAGGTTGGACCAGAGCGTAGCCTCACTAGAGGCAGGTCAGAGGAACCAAGGTGCCATTTTCCAGGATCTGCAGCACCAGGTGGGTATCTTGGCCCGCCAAAACACTACCAGGGCACCGGGGACTCTGCCTGCCACCACTATTCCGAATCCTCGTGATCCTCACCAGCTCCAGCAGCTGGATGCCATTTTTACCCTGAGCGGTAAGACCATATCTGCTGATCCTGTCCCGGCCAGACAGGAGGAACCACTGCCTGCTTCAGCACTTCCAGCCGACGATGCAGAAGTGCGGGTGGAGAAGGAAGCCCATGCTCCCAAGCCACAACCAGTGGTTAAGGAGCATGTGCCCCAGCTTCCCTTCCCCACTCGCCTACACAAAGACAAGCTGGAGACTGAGTTTGCCAAGTTTATGGCAATGTTGAAGCAGCTCAACATCAGCATACCGTTCGTGGAGGCACTGTCGTAGATGCCCAAGTACGCAAAGTTCATGAAAGACGTCACCGACAAGAAGAAACTTGGGGATCTTTTGACAGTGATGCTCAGTGAGGAGTGTTCTGCTATCCTGCAGAACAAGCTGCCCGAAAAGCGCAAGGATCCAGGGAGTTTTACTATCCCTCTTACTATTGGCAGCATGCATGTAGGCAAGTCCTTGGCGGACCTAGGCGCTAGCATAAATGTCATGCCATATAAGTTGTAAAAAAAGCTAGACCTAGGTGCACTTAGCCCTACTAGGATGAGCATTCAGCTAGCTGATCGTTCCATTGTGCATCCTAGGGGAATCATAGAGGATCTGCTTGTCAGTGTCAGTGCATTCACATATCCTGTTGATTTTGTTATTCTTGATATACATGAGGATGTGGATGTGCCATTGATTCTGGGGAGACCATTTCTTGCCACCGCCAAGGCACTTATTGATGTGCATGATGGTAAACTGATCCTGCGTGCTGGGAATGAACAGGCTACTTTTTCTGTGACTGAATTATATCACTGTGCTATGATTGTTGTCACACCTGTGCATGCCATTTCTGATCAGGTACACGAGCCTGTCGTGTATCCTTCTGCTCCTCTCATTTTGCAGGACCCTCCTATCATTCCTTCGCCGCCACTCCATCCAGTCTCGCCTCTGAACAAAAAGCTCAAGGAGGAGTGGCGGCCGAAGCAGCAGGTTGCTAAGCCTGAGCGGAAGAAGGGTGGAGACCACTAGGAGCTGGTCCCACCTCCTGCACCACGACCACCCTGGCCCTCCGGGTACTCACTTGCCTGCATTTTGCCGAATGGCCAGGTCGAGCTGACCGATGATGGTGGTCGCATCTGTTGGGTGCATGGCCACAACCTGAAGCTGTACCTCAAGAGCGACGTGGATCCGCTCTTGGAGGCACCAGTTCCTGCACCTCCCTGAGTATCCGCCATGGGCGTCCAGCTAAAAGACGGTAAAGAAGCGCTTGTGGGGAGGCAACCCCACCACGGTTTGACTTTCTTTCTTGTGTTTTGAGTCGGATTGTAAACCGGTTTGGTTTTGGTTTGTTTTCTTTTGTTTTGGATGTTGTACTATTGGGCTGACCATTGGACCTAACATATTGTGTTTGAGCTCTTTGGTTTCCTTTAGCTGTGCTTCACTCCGACTGGTCCGTTTCCAGTCTCCTGCAGTCCGTGCATACCGGTAACATCGTTCCCCTTTCCTTCCCTCTTCTCCATTGAGGGCAATGTCGATCTTAAGTGTGGGGGGGATGTTTCTCTTTTGACTGCATTAGATCTGTTTGTGTGCTTGGAGCCTAGTCCACTGTCCAAATTTTTAAATTTGAGGGCTCCAAGTACGTGTTCCTTGCAATTGCCTGCTCAGTATGCTTTGAATTGACAGTCTTTATAGTAATATGCAACCTAGGGAGGTAGTGTAACACTATGGAGGATGTTGATGCATTTAAGAAGTCTCATTGCTTCTTCATATTGTGTTGGTTGATTGAGTGAATTAGTGATCTTAGGACCCTTGAATTGTGTGGTGTTGTGGATTCTCTACCTGTCATGGACTTTTGTATCATGTTTTGAAAATAACAGGTGCTCGAAAATGTGCTTTAAAATAACGTCTCCCGTGCGAATAGGGAGAAAGTGTGTAAGGGGAGACGGGAATTCGTTCCCAATTTCCACCTACTACCTCCAGCCCCCTTGCATGTCTTTTCCCCGCACGAGGCTCGAGACATCCGCTCCTGGCATGGCCGGTAAGAGCCGGGCTCCCGCAAAACCTCTGCTAGGTGGGAGCCCCCATTTTCTGAAAAGCAGGTTGGGACCCTTGAAAAAAAAAAAAAACAGAAAACAAGCAAAACAGGAAGAAAAGGGGTTCCAACCATCCTTAAGAAGAAAATAGAGCACCTTGAAAAATGTGAGTCCATGATCCTTTGTTTTTGAGAATCTCTTCATCCACGATTCATTTGTCCTCTGTTCACTATTTACCATGATGCCGACTCGATACTAGTGCTCTCGCCGAAGAAGCTATGAGATGACTTGTGCATCGGTTGACCTCGTAAGCTGCTAAATTATCTAGGAAGTCCTCTACCTATGATCTGGGTTGTTTGTTGCTATAGAGGTCTGGAGAGTTGCATTGGTTTGAGTTAGGTTTGCTTGGGGACAAGCAAACGGTTAAGTGTGGGGGAGTTTGATAGACCGATAATTACGCATATTTTCACCCCTATTCTTGAGCCGTTTGAGAGGTTGACTCTCGGGTTTTAAGCTGATTTCACGCGAGGTTGTGTGTTTATGTCATATTTCAGGACCCGGCGTTGGAATCGAGGCGAAGGAACGAGATTCGGGTCGAAAGGAGCAAGTGAGGATTGAAATGGGCTGGAGGAAGAAAATACCCGGCCATGACCACAAATACCCGGCCGGGTATTATTCTGAGGAGACCGGGGATTTTCCCTTTTGGCGTCTGAGAAACAGGGGGGTCCCGGTCTGGAAGGCAGAAATCCCCGACCGGGGATTATTGGATGAGACCGGGTATTTTCCCCTGGCCAAAACGTGCGTTTTAACTATACCCGGTCGTGACCCAAAATACCCGACCGGGTATCGCGACAGGCAGCTGTTTTAAAGGAAAAGAAGGCCAAAGATCAAGGGGATTCGAGTTTTAGAGAGAGAGATCGATTCCTAGAGTGAGAAAGTGACGAACAAGAGTTCCCAAGTGCCTTAGCTTGATCTTCATCACCATTGGAGGCCAGTTTGAGCTTGGAGAAGTGCCGATCAACGTCCAGGAGCAGGAATCCATCCTTCACAGTATGAATTCCGCGTCTGATTCTGCTTTTGCTTCTTTCTCCATGGAGTAGTTCTCCCATTCATCTGGGTATGGATAACCCTAGATTTGTATGTTAGGTTTGATTGTATGAACCCAAGTACTGATTCTATGATTTGATTATATTCGATTGAGGTTTGAATGATTGAATGACTTGAATCCTGATCAAATTCCTGTTGTTTCTGCTTTGACCTAGAATGAGAATATCTGCCTAGGTTGATAGAGCATCCTTGATTGAAGGTAGGGAGTTGGTGACTTTAGTCGAGGAGCCAACTCACTATTCTGTACCGGATTTACTTCGGTAGTGGAGGTTTTGTTCGTTAGGGCCTCAATCTGTTTACTCCGGTGGAGGTTAGTCGCCCGCTAGAGACTCAGATTGAGAGGGTCTGAAGACCTTTAGTCGAGACTTCAGGCTGTCTGAGAACCTTCCGCAGTATAACTATCATTGAAACTGAACTTGGTAATTACAATCCGGCTTAACTGCAGTCTAGGGGGAACCATATCCGGGTGACCTCTCTTAACCTGAATACAACCGTTTACTTGCTTTGTTAGTTTGTTAGTTTACACTTGCATTAAAGGTTCATTGCTAGATAACAAGAATTCACTGAGTAGTCATCAAATCTAGGACCCGGGTTGACATTTAAACCCAAACCCGCTATACTACACTTTAGGAAGTGGTTTCACTTGGCCAATTCCTGGAGTGACAGTAAAAGTGAGTCAGGCACTCTACTGATTGCCAGTGGGGCGGATGCAAACAAACAAGTCTTTCCGTTAGCCTTCGCCATTGTTGAGGGAGAGAATACTGATAGCTATGGATGGTTTTTCCGGCAAATTCAGCTCCACGTCACTCGTGGTATGAGATCGGGTGGGGATCATATGGAGATTGATGGTAGCTCGGAGGGGATTGATGGTAGCTCGGACGGGGATCATGGTATGAGCTCGGGAATTGCTCATGATGGTAGGTCGGGCGGGGATTTTAGGAGTGGCTCGGGCGAGGATCTTGGGACAAGCTCGGGCGGGGATCTTGGGAGTGGCTCGGACGGGGATCTTGATGTGAGCTCGGACCGCCACCGTGTGCCACAACCAAGGGGTCGACACTCTCCATGTCTCGAATGGCTTTATCTCAGGCTCATGAGGTCTTTCCCGAACCTTCTTGCTTTTCTTTTTTCTCGTATGGTGGTGGGGGATGGGGGACATCAACTTGTACCGGAGGTGGCACCGGTGCGGGTATGGGTGGGTATCTACGATGATCACGACCTTGTCCTCTTATACAGCCAAGCAGGCTGTTTGTCATCCTCCTGATGAAGATCACATCTTCATGTCCCATTTCATGTTTCCCATTGGTCAACGCTTTGATCCGCTCGATCCCATCAGCCTAAATCACAAAAAAGGTTAGCAAGATAAGACTAATGATGTGACAGAATGAAATAAGCAATAAATTTAATCTTATTAGACGGAATATACTTCCCAATGCACCATCGGCCGCACTCTCCGGAGTCACGTACCGAACCGATGTTTGCCGATATCTATCCATGTATGGGTCATGATACCCCATTCGACCCACACTTGTTGGAGTGAAAATACCTGAAGTTGTCGGTTCTCCCATACCGCGATTAATTCCGCCAACTTCATGGGCCAATCGTGAGTACCTTGCCGACCATCTCAGTGGTGAAACACCCTTTGACTCTCGGGGACTTCCAACGGAATGCACTGCTCCCGACCAAACTGACGAAGGCATCGATCCGGCAGGTGCCACTCCACGGTCCCTAAACAAATGAGAGGGACCCTCATGCACCATTGCCCGATATTCTCGGGGAATTGCTGTAAATGCCAATGATCGATGTTCGCCGGGTATGGATCGAATTTGATCTACAAAAAAATATTAGTAACTTAAGTTAAATCTGATTGGAAAAATACATGTACTCCATGAAAAATAGTTATAGCAATTAGAAGTTTTCTAGTTACCTCTCCTTCCCAAAGTCGCTCTAGCCTCCTCCGATACTCTACCAACTTGTGTTGGGCAAGGTTGTCGCATGTTGAGGCTCCATCCCACCTTATTAATATGACGATAATATAAATACACTGAATTAAAATAAGCTAAAAAATAAGGAAAATTGTGTTTTTAAAATCATGATGGGGTATGAGAAATTTACCTACAACCATAAGCTTCGAGTCTTAGAGGATGATCAGGACCCCAATTCCTGTCGGGGCATTGGAGCGGTGCAATCCATGGCAGATGCTCCCAAGCCCAAAACTGGATGATGAACCCGCCGACCTCCCTCACAGCTTTGAGAGATGCGTTGCACAAATGGTGGTAGATATTAGCTAGGCAAGTGGATGCCCAGCTCAACTCCCCCATCGTATCCCAACTACCAAGAAGGATCCTAAGCCATCCATAGCTAATTAAATTGCTCGATTTTTTTGGAGAAGAACACTCCACCTATCATGCCTATGAGATAGACACGAGCATATCTTTCCTTCTCCAGCTCCAGACTTTCCTCGGTTGGGGGCACCCCATCTTTTTCAGGATCGTGATGGTCCCTAAAATACTTCATCAACCAAGTGATTGATACTTGGCCTTTCCTCAATGGTGGCAAGCGATCCGTCGCATCAACGCTCCCCTTGGTTGGTACTTTCACCCCCAAAACACTGTGGATGAAATACTGCCAACCGGTCATACCGTCACGATCCTCGGGGGGATGATCACTCACACACACTGCTTTGCCGTCGATGGGCAGATGAGTTAGGATGGCGGCGTCCTTGAGAGTGATGGTGCACTCTCCTTCGCGAAAGGTGAAACAATGTGTCTCCTTCCTCCATCTCTCCACCAATGCGGTGATGAGTTGGCGATCGACTTTTATGCCTACAAAATGCCTAATCGACTCCAACCGTGCCCTTTTGAGATAGGGCAAGATAACTGGGTTCCATGGGAGCACATTGGTCGTACCCCTGTAGCGAAGTATTTGTTGTGCCTCCTAGCAAAAATTTCAACGTTATTTATGATATATTAGTAACAGTTTAGTCTTATAACTAAATAAAGTAAAATTAATGATTTAATTTCGACCATTATTAAAATTATTTATGATATATTAGTAATAGTTTAGTCTTATAACTAAATTAATTAAAATTAATGATTTAATTTCGACCATAATTATATTATAATTATATTATTAACAATCAAATTTAAGTAATTTGCAGTTTTTTCCAAGAGGTATACATATTATCATAAAACAAACATACTAAATTAATTGACATAAATAACATTCTAAATGAATAATAATTTAAAGAGATACATACATATTCAAACATTTGAAATTAATAAAATCCATTTAAGTACACATAAACATAAATCGTATTGGTTGTTTGGTAAGTAATTTAATCGTATTGGTTGTTTTAAATAATTTAATCGAATACAATGCAACACTCGTTAGACTCTTAGAAGAGGTATACATCTTCTTATAAAGGCAACCTTTTTTACAGAAAAAGGGGGTATCCAAGGATCTCTTAATACCGATTTTCCCAGGAAATGGGAGGATCATGATAATCGCTTAAAACCCCATTTCCTTAGACGTGCATCTCTTTATAAAGAGTGGAAGTAAGTGGCGCTATGTATTCAATTAAATTATTGAAAACAACCAATACGATTAAATTATTTCAAATTTATTTTATGTTCCACAAAGTACATTAGCAAAAGAAAAGAAAGACAAATGATGAAGGATTGTATGTACCGGGTGATCGTTCCAAACATCCCTTGAACGATGGTAGGTTGGTCATACAAGTCGGTCGGATCAATAGGCCCTTGATCCAAATAGTACCGTTGGTTGTATATATTCACGTCGTCCCCAACCTACGAGAGAATAACAACAATGTTAGTACATAGATTAATTAAAAAGCTTATAACAAAAACCAAAATTGACCAAAATAATGAGTACGTACCACTTGAAATTCATCATAATAAAATCCCTCTCCTTGGAACCACTCGTCCATTTTTTCGCGAAAGTCGGACAGAAATTCGGCGGGTTTTGAGGGAAAAACCAAAGAAATGTTTTCTGATGGCAGATCAGACTTAGCCGCAACCAACAGACCACTATTTCCTAGGCTTTTGGGAGGGGAGGGGTTATAGAGATAATTCTAGAGAGAGAGAGTGGAGAATGGTTGTGGTGTGAAGAAATGAGAGGGGGGAGGGAGGGGGTATTTATACCCATCAGACCGCACCCTTAAAGGGCATTCTGGTAATTTTGCCACAGCTGAAAAACGCTCCCTTCCGATGCAGTCTCCGGGTCCCGAGGCGCTGACCGCTCCTTCACTCTGCGTTCTGCGATCCACGACGCGGATTGCTGACGTGGCGTGCGTTCTGCCCGCCAGATCGCCACATGATCCTGCGGTCTCCAAGGCCGCTGCCCAACAAACACAGACCGCACCTTGGAGCTGCGGTTCCCAGTCTGACGTGGCGCAAAACACACCTCCAAGGTGCGGTTTGATAAAAATGGTGCTATTTTTGTAAATGTTGTGGGCTGGATGCTATTTTTGTAATATTTTTAATAGGTGCTATTTCTGGAAAAATCCCGCACAATTGTGGGTAAGGATGGATATAAAATTTATGTCTACTTAGGAGCTATTTGAGGGAATTTAATTTGGGATCTTCATATTTAAGATTAATGGTATTACCACTAATGAAGCCATTTTTCGCTTTTGTGCCATAATTACTTTGACTTGTTTAATATATATATATATATGGTAACGACTAGTATACTCCAGAAGTATAGTATACCCCAGGGGATCTGGCCGTTAGATGGTATAGTAACATATCTCAAACTCGATTCATGGTCTTTATAGAAATATTTAACTAAAAGTTCCTAGAGTATAGTATACTTCAGGATTACACCAGTTTGACCCATATATACATACATACATACATATATATACTAGAAAATGGAATCCAAGAATGGCACCTTATATCTCTGCAAAGCATAAAGGTATTCATATTATAAATCTTACTAGAACCGCTCGTTTCTTATCAGAAGCTTGTGATTTAGTTTTTGATGCAGCAAGTAGGAGAAAACAATTTTTAATTGTTGGTACCAAAAAAAAAGCAGCTGATTTAGTAGCGCGGGCTGCAATAAGGGCTCGGTGTCATTATGTTAATAAAAAATGGCTCAGCGGTATTTTAACGAATTGGTCCACTACAGAAACGAGACTTCAAAAGTTCAGGGATTTGAGAATGGAACAAAAGACGGGCAGACTCAACCGCCTTCCGAAAGGCGATGCGGCTCGATTGAAGAGACAATTCTCTCACTTGCAAACATATCTGGGGGGGATTAAATATATGACGGGGTTACCCGATATTGTGATAATCCTTGATCAACAAGAAGAATATACGGCTCTTCGAGAATGTATCACTTTGGGAATTCCAACGATTTGTTTCATTGATACAAACTGTGACCCCGACCTATCAGATATTTCGATTCCAGCGAATGATGACGCTATAGCTTCAATTCGATTAATTCTTAACAAATTAGTATTTGCAATTTGTGAGGGTCGTTCTAGCTATATACAAAATTCCTGATTAATAATAAGATAAATCAATTTTTTGGTGAACTCCATAGATTTATGGAATTGGTTACTATAATCGTACAAAAGAGATAAAACTAACTGGGGATATTAGGTGATTTGTTGGTATCTAACATATACAAGTTAAGTTAGCAAGTCTAAAAGCTGGTTGAATCAAAAAAATTTCTTTTAAATTTTAAAGTTTTCTTTCTTTTAGAGGGCAATATGAATGTTCTATTATGTTCCATAAACACACTAAAAGGTTTCTATGATATAGCCGGTGTGGAAGTAGGCCAGCATTTCTATTGGAAAATAGCGGGTTTCCA